TATTTAATCGCAGAGGCCAAAATGGCAATCTACATAACTCGACGAGACAAAATGCAGGCTGGACCTCAATTTGATGCCGTGGCTCTGTGGAAGTGTAACATCAAAGCTAGACTAAGACTGGAATTTTGTTTCCACAGAGCCACCGGGGATTTAAATAGTTTTTTACAGTTGTGGGGTTTTAATAATGTATTGTGCACCGTTTCAAATCAGGGAGAGCTAAACTTTAACAAACTGCTGATGTGAATATTTATTGTTTTTATTTAGTTTTCATTGACCTGATTATGTAAAAGTGTATTATTAAATTATTGTAAATAAATGTTTTGGTAAAAATCAAAAAAAAAAAATCTTCTTCTTCTTCTTCTTCTTCTTCTTCTTCTTTTCATACATTGTCAACAAAAGCACCTGTGTGAATATGTTTCAGACTAAAATGTGTCTTTATTAAAAATACATGTTACCACGTCAGACATTGTTGCTTCCTGCATTTATTCGTAATGAAATAGCAGCTCTGAATTAAATTTGTGTGACATGGATCCAAAGATTATCATATAATATATATATTTTTCCGCTTCCTGAAAACAGCGACTTGTAAAATTAAGACTCCTTGAACTCTTCAAGTTTTGTGACATTTCAATTGTAAAACTTTGAGGATTTTAAGTCTTTCAGGTTCCTTTTTAATTTTAATTCATCTGTATGTACTTTAATATATAGTTGTTTGATTTGATTTTTAGATATTTTATATTCAGTGGGAATACTGTGCTGCTGTAAGAAGTGAATTTCTCTACTGTGGGATTCATAGAGAACTATTCTATTCTATTCTATTGTATTCTATTCTATTCTATTCTTTCACTGCATGTTTGAGAAATGCTGTTAATCTCCGTGGCAACCATTCAGCACTGCAAAACCTCTGGGTGGACCTAGCTCTGCCTTAGTTACTAAAGCGGTACAACTTTCGCTGCAGTTTCCTTCGGACTAGCCAGCAGCAATTAGCAAACACCTGGTGGGACTGCTCATCACCTGAGCTCATTACATGAGCTACTTCTCAGTGAAACGCTGGTAAAAACGCAGAGGAGCCATGTTATGATGACTGTCTGAAGTGGAGTTTCAGAAACAGCAGGAGTTTTTAAAGAGACAGAGGCCCAATTTCAAGGAATTAAAATACAAATTCAAATTTATTTTAAGTCTTATTTGATACATGAAGCTATGAAATACATAACCCTACTGCTTTAGCACTTATGTCCCTTCCCTTCAATCAATTAGATCAATGTTTTGTCCAAACTATCAAATATTAGTCAGATGGTTAATACAGAATCCGTCCATCCTGTTCTGAGAACACGAACCTGTGCTGATCTCTTTGACCCACTTACTGAAGCGTCTCCTCTTACTGTCTGTTGTCAATTGATCAAGCTCACATTCCATCTGTATTAATAGCAACTTTAATATCAGTGTGCAAAATCACAGCATTTCCTTCAACACTGAGCCGTACAGATAAACACATGTGTGTTTCCGATCCGGTCAGCGTGGAAATGGTGTGGAAGGACCGGGGTAAGAAGAAGAAGAAAAAGAAAAAAAGAAAAAACAAATATTCCACACCCAC